CGTTTCCACAACTTGTTGCGGTAGTGGAATTATATGTAGAATCATTATTATAAAGTAGAATTTATAGAATGGCTCAGAGTCCTCCATACTGGTGTGCCCAGGTCAATGAAGGATGTAGATCATCATCCCACTCGTTGTAATGATTGTTGTATGTTGGTAGCTATTGTGATTCGTAAGAGTATGTTTTACCGAGGTTAATGTAAGACTGTCAAAAGTATGTTTCAACGAAGGTAGTCCAAGACTGACTAGTCGCCTCTAAAAAGCCAGAAAAGAAAGCAATGGAGGAAGTTCAGGACGTGAAGGTCCTGTTTGTGGTCATTTCAAATTTTGAGTGAAATATTTTATTTTTAAATTTGTATCTCCAGTGCAAGTTCTGGACATGTTTTTTAACCCTCAACTATTAGTACAGTCAGGGTATAAAAATCTTAGTTACATGCATAATCTTATGAAGAATTAACTTTTTAACTGAACTGAACTCTTTGAACCCGAATATTCTTTTGCACAAAACGTTTCAAAAACCTATATTTAAAAGTGTATAATTGCACAAAAAAAAGGGTAATGACTTTGGAACCGTGCGAGAGGATTGTACCCTCTACAATGGTTTTATACCACGATTAACAACAGCGATTCTCGTTCCATTTTAAATACAGCCCACATAAAATCACGCGAAAAGAGAAAAAGACAGCAACAAGCGGAAGTGAAAGAAACTGGGTCATAGAATGAGAATTAAAGGAAAAAAAAAGAGAATTAACTCGTCAGCAGAATGATCGATATTAGCTTCTTTTCCTATTTCAATTACGAGCCGTAAGTCAATCCCTGAATGGAAACGATCAGTCGAGCAAAAGATTTAACCGGAAGAATGTGCTTCGAGTTCTCTCGCGATTTAATTTCATCACCGGTCCACATTCTTTTTCTGCGAAATTTCATTTTACTCGTCATTCGACGATCAACAGCTTTTAAATGCAAAGCTGGTGATATCAGACAATTTATGACCTGCTGTCGTTTTTCGGGTGTTTGCAATTATCTGCAAAAATTTTGAATATAATCTGACAAATAGAAGATTCTCCACGCCGTGGATTAATGAATTAGCTATAAATTCATTTACTTTTTAATCGCGATATTATCGTGATTGAATTATTACTCGAAGGTACTTCGAATTTTATTTATCTGTTTATGCTGATCGAAATTAATTTTACGAAATTGCGATACATAACCAATATAAAATATGTGAAATACTTGAGAAATCATGTAAGTTGCAGATTGAATTTTCCTTCAGATCCACTCGATCATTTCATACAATACATTCAAAATAATAACGAATTATTTTCCGAGTAAAAGAATATCTTTCATAAAATATTGTTAAACCATGTTAGAAATGAAGATAATTTATGTAACTTGATTCATTAAATTTTTATAGTGTTCACGTAAATAGTCAACAAATATTGCATTGCATCTGGATAACTGGAAAAATTGAAAGGCTCGGAGAAATCCATCCAATTAACTGACTGTCAATTTGTGCAACGAACTGTTCTGAAATATTATCGAGCAATTTTTAATATTACCAGATGATTTTTTAGCACAGAGGATTATCGCGAATAATGTCCGGGGAATTTTATCGAACGTTGGCGAATTTAATATCGTCAAGAGGAATTTTTATTGTTTGTTTTTCGTCGATAACGTTAAACGGCATCAGCTAATACGGGGAAAATGTCATTTACATTGACAACTTCGCACTTTCGATATAGCGATGTTTGTTTTTATTATTCCGTTTGAAATTCGTTCGGTAAAGCGAAATCAATGAAATAACGCACGCCCGGCATGTTTCCGATAGGCACGAATAATTTAAATTCGACAGGCTCGGTTTCTGTGCATATAATTATCGAACTGTTATTCAGAAATAATGGATGCAATCATTTGCGGTTCTGTTGTATTGAGATAATTTAGATAATTGAGATTGACATTATGCTAAACAGTAATCAGAATTAAATTGAGGGACGCAAGAATTGTTTTACATAATGTATGTTTCGCCGGATGAATTTACGAGTAGAAACATAAATTCGTTCATTATTTAAGTATAAATTTGCAACAATTGAAAACAGAAAAATATGGCTTCTTGCATAAACTCATCTGCAGTAATTACAGTTCTCAACAGTTTGTCGACGGTAGAATTAATTAAATTTTAATTCCACATTTTAATTTTACAATTTTAATTTTAAGTTTGAATTTTCATTTCCTCGAATGTATTCTACAAACACTTTCCCAACCCTTTGCGTTTTAATTTTCTAGTTTTTACGTTTTGAAATTTCCTTTCGAGCTACATTTACTCTTTACCATACACTCTTATGTGAGCCAAGAGCATATTTATAATACCCCATTAATCTTGTCTCTTCAACAAATCTTCTAGAGGAAGCCCAGTTTTTTTCTTCTCGTGTCATTAATTCGGTTTTATGCTTGTTACTTGATGCTTCTTATTTTTCATTATAGACAGTTTTAATACTGATTCTCATTTCATGTCAAACCTCTTACGCTAATTCCACTACAGTGGATTTTCCTAACTGATCATTTCCTTTCCCTTCCATTCGAAATCCGAGGTTGTCCTTTGTTATCTAAATTCAATGCGATTTTCCTTATATCCTTTGACGTCTGTTATTAACGATCTTCTTCATTACTGTGTTATTTCTCAATAAATCTTCTAAAATGAATTACAAGCTCTCATCAAAACTTCTTTCCTCCTCATTGCATGTTGAGTTTCAGTTGTTTACGCTTTATAATATTATCGTATACCGAAGTAGAATATATTTCGTTTGCGCAGAAAACAAAGCTCTGCAGTTCAATTTTCAAGCTTCCATTGCTTGCAGAAATTGCACGAATATTAATAAAACGCGAAAATACGATATTTTGCTTAAAACAACAAATATTACAGCAAAAAGAAATTGTTGGTGTACTTTTACCTATGAAGAATTCTGTGTACATTGATCTTTCTATGAAATAAGTAATATAATATCTTGACTAACATATACAGAGTGCCTTACAACTGGCGTAGGTCTCTGAAACGGGGGGTAGCTGACGCGATTCTGAATAAAATTTCCCTTTGCAAAAATGGGGTTGGAAGCTTCGCTTTTACATTATTAAGGAAAAACCAATCAGAGCGCGAGGATTACGCATGCGCAGACGCGAGAGCGACAGCTTCGTAGTTATCTAACGCGTGGTAATCCAACACGTGATAATGCAACGCATGGTAATCCTACCCGCAGTAATCCAACGCGTAGTAATACAACGCGTAGTAATACAGCGTGTAAATATCAAACGTGTAGTAACCTAGCGCGTGCATATTCAACACGTAGTAATCCAACGCGTAATAACGCAACGCGTGGTCATTCTAAGCGCAGAAATCTAATGCGTGGTAATGCAACGCGTAGTAAT